GGGTGCCATCATATTTTCTGATCCTTTTTGGCTTATGGTCAGTAAAGGACATTTGATCTATGCATTTAGTAGATTCATGCCATGCCTTTGTTTGCCATGATAAGTTCCTATAACATGTTGTTTGTTAGCTCTAAACATTGCATCGTGATGTTATTTTCTGCAAAGTCTGAAATTGTTATAACTTGCAATCTTACCATGTGTGTTTGAGCATGTTCTAGTGATTTCTGGAGATAGCTCAGTGTTCATGTTTTGTAATGCTTTACCTGTATATCATGTCCATGCCTTTTGTTCTCATGTTGGGGTACTGTAGTATGTTATTTTGATGCTTGCAATATGCCTAGTTGCTGTTTTGGACAACTTGTCCTTTAAACTTGTATAGCGTGCATGTGTTGAACCGTTGCTCCGTTTTGAGTGTGCTCTATATGAAATTTGCTTAGAATTGCATGTAGTTTCTTATTATCATGTTGGATCCATGTTTTGAGGTGTTTGCTTGATGTTTGTATGCATTTTGCATCAATGCCATGTTTGACTTGTTTTGCTCATATCTTCTAAGCCGTAGCTCCGAACTAAATGAACTTTATATGTAACTTGACTAGAATCTCGTGTAGATCATCTTGGTGCATCTTAACTTGCTGTTTAACAACTTGAACATAAGGTTATTCATATCTGGACCAACTTCGAAATTTGCATATGAGGACTTACCGGAATTGTTATATGTTGTTCCCGGCCTCATTTAAACTTGTCTTGATGTGTTGCTCTTGTTTGCATCATCTTTTGCCATGAGTAGCTTTATCTAGATTGGTCATGCATCATGCTTGTTGGGAATCATGTCTTGTCTATGTGTGGTGTGTTTACCTTGTTGTGTGCTTCTTTTCGATAGTTCCTGTTTCGTTGCGATCGTGAGGATTCGTTCGTCTACGCTTGGTTCGGCTTCATCCGTTCATCTTCTTCATGGACTCGTTCTTCTTCCTTGCAGGATTTCAGGCAAGATGACCGCTACCCTGGATCTCACTACTATCATTGCTATGCTAGTTGTTTCGTTCTATCGCTATGCTGCGCTACCTATCACCTGTTTATCAAGCCATCCCAAATTGCCATGAACCTTTAACCTTTGACACCTTTCCTATGCAAACCATTGTTTGTCTATGTTACCGCTTTGCTCAGCCCCTCTTATAGCGTTGCTAGTTGTAGGTGAAGTTGAAGATTTCTCCATGGTGGACAGGATTTTGGTTGGGATATCACAATATCTCTTATATTATTAATGCATCTATATACTTGGTAAAGGGTGGAAGACTCGGCCTTTTGCCTGGTGTTTTGTTCCACTCTTGCCGCCCTAGTTTCCGTCATACCGGTGTTATGTTCCCGGATTTTGCGTTCCTTACGCGGTCGGGTGATTTATGGGACCCCCTTGACAGTTCGCTTTGAATAAAACTCCTCCAGCAAGGCCTAACCTTGGTTTTACCATTTGCCTCACCTAGCCCTTTTTCCCTTGAGAGTCGCGCTCTCGAGGGTCATCTTTATTTTATCCCCCCCGGGCCAGTGCTCGTCGTGAGTGTTGGTCCAACCTGTCAGCCGCCGGTGGCCACCAGGGGCAACTCTGGGCTGGCCTACCGGAAGTTTGGACAATCCGGTGTGCCCTGAGAACGAGATATGTGCAGCTCCTATCGGGATTTGTCGGCACAGCGGGAGGCTTTGCTGGTCTTGTTTTACCATTATCGAAATGTCTTGTAAACCGGGATTCCGAGTCTGATCGGGTCTTCCTGGGAGAAGGTCTATTCCTTCGTTGATCGCAAGAGCTTGTCATGGGCTAAGTTGGGACACCCCTGCAGGGTATAATCTTTCGAAAGCCGTGCCCGCGGTTATAGGCAGATGGGAATTTGTTAATGTCCGGTTGTAGATTACTTGACACCAGATCTGAATTAAAACGCATCAACCGCGTGTGTAGCCATGATGGTCTCTTCTCGGCGGAGTCCGGGAAGTGAACACGGTTTCTGGGTTATGTTTGACGTAAGTAGGAGTTCAGGATCACTTCTTGATCATTGCTAGCTTCACGACCGTTCTGCTTGCTCTCTTCTCGCTCTTATTTGCGTATGTTAGCCACCATATTATGCTTAGTCGCTGCTGCAACCTCACCACTTTACCCCTTCCTTTCCCTTTAAGCTTTGCTAGTCTTGATACCCATGGTAATGGGATTGCTGAGTCCTCGTGGCTCACAGATTACTACAACAACAGTTGCAGGTACAGGTTGTGCGATGATCATGACGCGAGAGCGATGTTTGCTTGCGTTGAGTTCTTCTTCTGCTTCTTCTTCGATCAGGGATAGGTTCCAGGTCGGCAGCCTGGGCTAGCAGGGTGGATGTCGTTTGAGTTTCTGTTTGTGTTTCATCCGTAGTCGGATGATGCTCTGATGTATGATGATGTTGTATTCGAGTGGCATTGTATGCCTTATGTATGTATCCCCATCTATTATGTAATGTTGATGTAATGATATCCACCTTGCAAAAGCGTTTCAATATGCGGGTCTATCCTTGGTGGGACCTTCGAGTTCCTTTTGGATAGGGTCGCATATTGGGCGGAACAACAGACCAACTACCTATCGGTACAAGTAGGCAAGAGTCGCTGAACCCCAGCTCCATTTGCTATTGAAGACGATCAACGCCTTCAGCCACATCCATGGAGCGTTCTTGCCAGTGGAATCAGGAAACAAAGTCCTCGACACAACGTACCACATATAAACACGAGCATGTGTCTGGATCACACATCAGTGGCATCCAGACACGTCGCAAAGTTATTTTGAATCCACGTGAAAGCAGCTCCGGCTGCTTTCCTTTCCCTCTTCTTCTTCTCTTCTCCCTCCTCTACATCAGCCTCAGCCTCGGTAAGAGCCATACCAATAAAATCAATCATCGCGCCACCCATCAGAATCGGTGCTCATACAGAGAGGCCTCCCGTCGATAGCAAGACCGGTGATCAACGAGACATCCTCGAGAGTCACGGTCATCTCCCCAGTCCGAAGATGGAAAATGTGCGTCTCCGGCCTCCACCGATCAACAAGAGCGGACACCAGTGGAGCATTCAGATTCGGCGTGGACCGGCTGACCAACAGAATCCACGGGAGTAGTCTTGCCTGCTTGATGTACGGTGTGTACTGCTCATCGTAAGGCATGGCATGACCAGAGACCCCGTGATGCCGAATCTTCAGAGGTTCAAGCTTCTGCAAAAAAACAAGTAATGACAAATCTTAGGGCATGTAAATTTCAACTAAAGGCAAATTTGCAAAATATTTAGATTACTCATTATTACCTTCTCCTTCTCGTGCATCATGTAGGCCCGGTGTTGCACGTCGTAGACATCGTCCAGAAGCCAAACCATCCTTACAAATTTCAAACAATAAACATATAAGAGTTCATCTTCATCTCAAATATCGGTATACACTAAACATATAACATGTGTTCAACTACAAGAATCTCAACGTCTCCTTCTCACACAATGAATATGTCATATGTGTTCAAATAAACTAAACATCTAATATTTCAAATAAACTCAACATCTAATATTTCAAATAAACTCAACATCTAATATATATCTAAACAAACATCTCATATATGTCTACAAAAATCAACATCTCATAGTTATCTATAAAAATAGGCATCTCATATATATCTAAAAAAACTAAACAATCTAGGGTTTCACTAACAAGAATCATATATTGTGAACTAATCAATAACACTACAGTACTACCAATATGACTACACATCCTAAATCGAGTAAATCAAGCAAATCAAGGGTTCCATCAAATCTTGGACAAATCTCTAAAATGGTAATAAATTTACGGAGCAAAAGAAAGGAAACGGAAGAGTTTACCTAGTAGGATGGATTGGAGATCGAATCCACGGATCAAATCTTCAGATCTGAGAGGGATGTGTGTGTGGGGGCGGGGGGGAGGGTAGATGGGGGCGCCGCCGCTGCTCTCTGTCCAGAGAGCGAAGAGGGGAAGAACTGCCTGGTCGGTCTGGGGCAGCCGCGCTTAAGTCACTGTGCAACGCCTAAGGGCTAGGCGCTGCACGTTACAGTGTGGCGCCTAGGGTTTAGGCGCTGCACAGCTGCGTGTGGGGCCGCGCCTGGCCTTGGACTGCCACGCTGGCAGGAGGTGCGACGCCTAAGGGAAGGGCGGTAGGATGTGGCGCCTAGCTGTCGGACGCCACACAAAAGATTCAGCAGAGTGAAATTTTTTCAAGAGCAAGTCAGTTTGTGATTTGATTTGGGCATCAGGTTAAATATGTGATTTCTGCCCGCCCAGGTTGCCGGTTTCCATGGTTTGTTTTTGAATGTCACTGTCCACTCGAGACAGAGCCGCGCGCGAGCCAGACGCCAGGAGGAGCCAAGGCGCCGCTCCTTCTCTCCGGGAATCGCCGGCGACGGCCCGCCCCGACCTGCACCTGGCCAGCGCAGCACAGGCACAGCGGATGGCCTTCCGCTTTCCGTTGTCCCTCGGCGGAAGATCGCAAGGAGCGACTTAGCGCGGCTGGTTCTGCTAAACCAGCTAGATTCGCGCAGCACCTGCATTCGCGCGCTCGAGCAGCTGCTTCCGATCGAGGCGCCCCACGCTCGAGAATCCTCTCCAACTAAAATGGCGCCAGCCTCTAATCCTAGCGTACGCATCTACTCCGACGGCTCGCACGACGGCGCCCTGCAGGTGTTCGGTGAATTGCCCCACTGGGAAGATTGCGCCGCTGGCGTCGGATAAGCCAGGCTCCGGATTCAGGGTATGTTCCCTCTTGGTCAGTGATTTCATTTATTAGGATTGGACAATACTTCAGGCTGGAAAAATAGGATCGGAAAGAATCACCTATCATGCATAATCAGTGGATTAACAAATACTTCAGGCTGTACCTAGTGACACTGTATGTTTCAGCAGTAACAAATGCTTCAGTTTCCTAAATATGCACTTCAGATTCAAGTTCTTATGAGACAGAGCGTACAAATAGGATCGGGAAGAATCACCTATCATCCATAATCACTTGATTAAGATACACACACCAGCCTAGTGAGTGGACAAACAATGCTGGCATGCTCCAATTGGGAAGCAGGTTTATCCAACTACATCAACTAGACTAGGAATCTAAAAGCAGGAACAGCTAGCTAGAGCATACCACCGAGCGCACCAATAGCAAATCACACTCGAGGATTTTCTTGGCTGCTCTCAACCCTCTCATGGAGAGGACGACGGCGATGGCAACGATCAGACCATATTGACAGCGTCATATGGATTGCAAAGTAGCCCAGAACGGCAAGTATGAGCATGCTGACATACACAGACGTCTTCCAACCCCTGCTGGATCCGGCTGCATATGCCACTAGGAGAGCGACCAAATCCAGCAGGATCGTCCAGTTCATCACCCTCAACGACCATTTCTCCCATTCTTCTTTCTTCCTGTTTGGCAGCCAGTGCGGCAGTAACATCATGATGACAACAATGGAAGCCACGAAGGAAAAGGAGTTGCTGTAGAAGAAGACAAGGTACCGAGGCCTCCTGATATCATGCATCACCGGATCGCCTGCCTCATATCCATTGCCACTGCTCTGCCATGCTCCGCCGGGCGGTTCCAGGCCGGCCTGGTAGGCAACGCTTGCCACCAAGATTCCTAGCAGCATCAGGTACTTGCGCCTCGCGTGCTTCTTCCTTTCTTCCTCCTTGTTCCTTTCTTCTTCTTCCTCCTGTTCATGGGATATGGATGACGCGGCAGCTGCTGAATTGTCACTATTGTTTTGCTCCCTCAGCGCAAATACTAGCAGCAGTCCAGCTGCAACGAAGAGGACCACACCGACCAACACAAAGATGTAGATGGATGTCTTGAGGTGTTGGGTGCTTCCAGCGGCGTAGGCCACCATCAAACAAAACAAGCCCACAGCCGTACAAACAGATAGCGCATTGCTTCGTATGGCTGGCCTGTATAGATTGGGGTTCACCAGGAGGAGGATGAGGGAGATGGAAAGCATGAAGCTCACCGAGTTGCAGTAGAAGAATGCCTTGTAGCGACGTGGGAAGTTGTACAAGAGGACCGGGTCGCCAGCCTGGTGTCCGAGGTTGTCATCCTGGAGCAGGAAGCCACCAGGAGGGGTGAGGCCGGCTTGGTAGGTAATGGTCGCAGCCAAGATCGCGAAGAGGAGCAACCGTTTGCGCCTCTTCTCCAGCAACTGATTTGCCTGGTTGTCGTGGTTTTTGTCCTCGTGATCCAGCGTGAAGAAGATAACATGGATCACCACATAGACCAGGACGAGGCCTGCCAAAGCCATGACGTAAATGGAGCTGTTCACGCCCCGGCAGCTCCCGGCGGCATATGCACCGATGAGGCCAAAGAGGTCAAGTATCATGGCTGCCTCCAGCACGTGGTGCTTGACCAGAATTTCCGTCTGGACTAGGACAATGGCCACCAAGGAGGCCACAAAGGCAACCGAGTTGCAGTAGAAGAAGGCCTTGTATCGGCTAGCATTGGTTGTGAGAAGGATGGGGTCACCGGCCATGTGCCCGTTGGTGTTGTCCTGCCAAAGTCCTCCCGGTGGCTTCAACCCCGCTGTGTAGGTGATGGCGGCGGCAAGAGTGGCAAGCAGTAGAACAAGAGAGCGAGCCTTGTCCAGAACCTCCTTGCCACTGCACTGTATTGTACTGCAGAGAAGAAGAAACATAGTTCAGTTCAGTTTGCAGAGAATGGAAGAAACAGTGTAGCTACGAACAGATGAAACACGGTTCAGTTTGCACAGTTGCAGACAGAGGAAAGGAAGATGTATGTGCTCCTTACCTGACATTAGCATCAGTCTGCTGAATTTCTTCAGTTTGTTGCGCTGAAGCGTAGATACCATAGAGTAGGATGATGTGTGCTATTGCTAGAACGGCACCGACCAAGCTGGCCACGTAGGCGGTGGTATCAATCTCCCTGCAGCTGCCGGCGATGTATGCGCCGACTAGGCCGACCAGGGCGACCACGATGCACCCACAGAGCATGCGAGACCGAGCCGTCTTCTTCTTGCGGAGCTTCTTGCCGTCGATGATAAGCAGCATGGTGATGAGAAGGGACACCACGAATGCTGTGGTGTTGCAGAGCAAGAACACCGTCAGGCGTGGGTTGTGCTGGTCCTTGAGGATGGCGTCACCTGGGCGGTGGCTGCCCCCGGTGCTGTCCCAGAACCCGCCTGGCGTGCTCAGCCCGGCCACGTACGTGATGCTCACCGCGAATGTAGCCAGAAGCATCAGGACCTTGCGGAGCCGTTCTTCGGCTTTCAGCTTCTTCAGGGCCTTGCGGTCGCGGAACCGTTTGTCGACAATGGCCGGGTCAGAGCCGAGGATGGGGGCCGGAATCGTGTCGGTGCTAGAGTCGGGATTGGGAGCGGGCATGATGTCGTCGGAGCCGGTGTTGTCGTTGGAGACGGGCATCCTGCCATCGCAGCTGGCGACAGGGCCGGAACTCGTGCCGGAGTCAGGATTGGGAATGGGCGTCGTGCCACCGGAGTCGGAGCCCATGTTGACGGGCATCCCGTCTATGGAGCTGGCGACGGGGGCAGGAATCATGCCGGCACTGGAATCGGAGTTCTTGTCCCAGCAGTCCATCAACTTGAGAACGAGGATGTAGAGGAAGACGATGGCCACAAGTACCGCGAAGTAGAAGATTGAAATCTTGTCGCGGCAGGTACCGGCGCCATACGCGCCCATGAGGCTGAGTAGGTCCAGCACCATGACTAGCCGCAGGGGCACGACAACCCATTGGCTGTCCTTCCCCTTCTTGTCGTGCCGAATTGCGAGGATGAGGATGAGGACAATGACCACGAGCGACGCGGCGAAGGCGGCGGCGTTGCAGTAGAGGAAGGCGAGGTAGCGGTGGTAGTGGGTGTAGCGGATGATGGGGTCGCCGGCAGGTTGGCCATCGTGGGCGGCCTGCCAGACGCCTCCCGGTGGGCTGAACCCCTCCGTGTAAGTGACGGTCACCACCAAGGTGGCCAGCAGCAGGAGGTACTTCCGCAGGCTGTACTCCCATGGCTGCACCGGCGGCTTTGCCGGCTGCACCTGCGCCATTGCCGGCTGCAGAGATGCTGCCTCTGGCTGGCCTGGCTGATCCATTGGCACTGCCGGGAGTGCCGGCTGCAGCTCCACGGCAGGGACATCACTCTCCATTCTCTCACTCAACAGCTGCTTTTGGTTCCGTTAATTATTGTGATGCAGAATGACGAAGGGGGCTATAAAACGACCTGACTTGGCGCGTCGTCGGGACGAAGCTGCCTAGCCTATTCCCACATGCCTCAGGGTCTTCTCCGATCAAAAACTAAGCATTTCTATATATTTTTTTGCGATATAATCAATCGGAAACATCCCGAGGGCATGCGTTTTTGGATGTCTTTGTGTAGATTTTCGTTGGGCAGATGTTTTCCGACCTGGTCATGTTTCTCTTTAGTTTTACTAATACAGCTTTCCTAGGTGTCAGCATTTTTTTGGGGCACTTGCATATTTGCTGGAGATTTTCTTGTTACTTGCATCTCATAGTTTTCGCCGTCCAGTGGGTGTAGCACTGTTTTCTTCTAATATACTTATAAGCTGGATTTCGAATAATAACATTTTCTCCATCTTGTGCAAGTCATTGGTAAGATACTTCCTTTTTTTAAAAAGAACACTAACTGCTTTATTGAGATAAAAAAGCATACAGCTATAGTTGTACATAACGGACTTGCAAGAGAGAGAAATAATACTGTAACTCCCAACGACATTTTCTCCGTCTTGTGCAAGCCATTGAGTAAGACAGTGACTTGCTCGACTCACCTGGTTTGAGCCAACTTATGAAGTTGTGTGGCAGCGGGCGAGCAACTTCATAGATAGAGAGAGGGAGTATATAAGAATGGAGGGAATGATAGTTTCGGAGGGATTGGATGTAAGAGTTTAGATCCTAGAAGTCCCACCATTTCATTATAACTTGTTTTGTTATTCCTTGGCTAGTATGATGAAGGATGATATGGAGATTTTCGTTACTAAGATCAGTCGTTCTCATAATAAAGTTAGTCGATAATAGTCTCTCTTCCACAATCAGTACCCGATCGAGACCGAACAACATAGAAATATGACACATCCGATGTCCAATCTCTCGACAACTCCATTTTTTAATTCATTTCACTTTTTTATAGGTGCCAAACGGTGCTTATAGTTCCCTTATTTGGTCTGTTTTGTTCAGGTTTACAAGACCTACATGTATTTTAAGATTAATTTTGAGAATCTATTTACGCAAAAAATATTGATTATATCTCACAAAAAAAGTATATTATCAAATTTGTATTTCAGAGAAGTTTTTTACATGTTTTTTTAATTTTCTTTGGTTTCTCCAATTCGCTCTGGTATTTTTGTTTTTCCAGAAAAAAAAGAGTTTTTAAATATGGACGATTGTTCAAATACATGGGCATTTTTATATAAAACTTTGAACATTTAAAGAAAAGGGGAAACATTTTTAAAATTGCATAAATGCTTTAAAAAATATTTTTATCTTTTACCTTTAAAAAGTTCACCGTGTATTGGAAAAATGTTCAACGTATATTTTGAAAATGTTCATCGTAGTTGGGGCAAAAAAGTTCATGCACACATCAGAAATGTTTTACTAATAGAAAGGATAAAGGCAATGAAGGGAAATCTCAATCTCTATCTCTACTACTTAAAAAGAACGTAAGGTTCCCATTTCACCTTTCTTTCCACCACCCCTTCGTTAAACATTTCATGTATATAATAATCAATCATCTTAATTTACTTACTTTCTGAACCATTCCATTTTAATTTACTTACCAAACTTATAATCAAAATATAAGGTAATTACAGTCAGAATTTCATGAATATTTATTTATAAAATCACATTATTATTCACAGGTAAATCACAAGCTAACGTACTAGAATATTTATATCCCGTTGCAACGCATGAGCATTGTTCTATTGACAAAAGAAGAACCGACAAAAAAGTCAAAACAAAAAAAGGAAAGAAAAAAAGAAATGGAAAGCATAGACAAAAAAGATAAAACCTTGATTAAAACCAGCAAAAACTTGAAATAACATGAATGAATGAAAAATGCTGGAAGCGCCGGAAAAACCGCAGCCAACCAGGGAATGAAACACACGAAATGGGTTTGCCTATATGAACTTCACTCTATGCGATTACTCGACTATATGACATGATGAGCATCACATAGGATTTATTGATGGCGGGGGCACCACAACAGACACGACGTAGGGAGGAGGGTTTGCTATGTGGTAGTCGTGAACACGGTGACTGCATACGCGGCAGTGGTTGTGGTCGTGGCAATCATCGTCTCGTCGATGAGGTTCCCCTTGCAACCAAATACTGCACCAATGTTATTCTCCAAGGTAAGAGCTCCCAAGACACTGCTATATGGGGAGGTTTCAAGGCAAATACGTTGATCTATGCATCCGGGCCACCTTATGGACCGATATAGGACCGCGTTTGATGACACAACATGGTCCGGACGTATGCTGGCGATTTGAGGGCCGGCGTTGGAGATGCCTTTTACTACTCGGGTCCTACAACATTGATGTTTATTGCTTGGGTCCCAGGAAGGCCATCGCTGGCGCGTCGCCGGCTCGCACAACCGGAGACTTGCCTCGTTTCGTCTTCACTGCAGACCCTCGCGACCCTCGCTGAGCTTCACGGAAGCGGAGTAGGCACCCTTCCCCTCCGGATGAAGCACCCCCTTTGCCACTCTGATGAGCGGCGCGGCCAGACATAGGGAAGATACAAAGGAAGAATATACCTCCGGGGCTTCCGGCAGTTTGATGATCGGGCTGCCGAACATGAGAAAGACAAAGGGATCCGCTACGGTTGGCCATAGACTAGTGTAGTGTATCCGTGTCGTAAGAATGAACCTCCGCACGATCGTACGTGCATATAGTTTTACCTTTATTGTTAAAAATATGTCAAAATTGTAATGAATTTCGTTCAATTTGTATGAAATCTGTTGTGTTTACATATATTGGATAGTTCAAAGAGTGCTTGAAATGTATGCGGGTAGAGTTGGATAACGGCCTCCCGCATCTGTGTCCGCACACAGATATGGGAAGAAATTTATAGGTTGCCACTGAAAATGCCCTAAAATTACGTAGCATCGCCAGATTATGCCCCCGCGTCGCCCCCGCGTCGCCCCCGCGTCTCTCCCGCTCGGGCGACTCGGGCGGGATCTGAAACCCTAGCCGCCGGGGGTCCCCATCCTTCCTTCCCTCCCTCCGCCGCTGCCGAAGGACGCCGCCGGCGATAGCCCGGGGCTGACGGCGGTGGCGGGGGTCTTCCCTCTTGCCTGCACCGTGGGGGCGGTGCGGAGCTCCGCGGCGTGGGTGGCACAGCCGATCTGGCCTGGCGGCGTGGCGGGCCTGCCTTCCGGCGGCGGCGCGGCGGCTGCCTCGGCCAAGGGCCGATCTGGCCTGGCGGCGCGGCGGGCCGGCCTTCCGGCGGCGGCGCGGCGGCTGCCTCAGCCAAGGGCGGCGATGGTGGGGGTGCGGCAGCCGTCTCTGCCTCGGGCAGCGTGGCGGCGTTCGGCGGCGGCAGCCGGGTCTGCGGCGACACACCATCTGACCTCGGATCGGCGGTGGCGGCATGGAGGGCCTGGTGGTTGGGTCGGCACCATGTGGGTTGTGTCTTTCGGACAGATCTGATCTGGCCGGTGCGGCCTGCTCGATGTGCGGCAGCTCAGATCGGCGGCGACCCGTGCACACAATACGTGATGGAGGTTCTTCGAGCGGATCCGGGTGAAAACCTTGTGCTCGGCTTGATGCCAAGACCGGCGTTGGTGGCACCCTTTTGTGTCATTACCTTCTTGAAGGCATCGCCGTGGAGAAGCTCTAGACCTCTATCCGCTACTTCCGGGGGAAACCCTAGATCAGTTGATCGGATGACGGCGGCGCGTTGGTGTCGTTTCCTCCTTGGGGGCATCATTCTTGGAGGCGTACACGGGATCGAGGGACCAGCGGGCGCCTTTTCTGGTGGAGCGGTGCTTCATCCTTCACATTGATGACGGCTGATCTCGGCGGCGTGGTGCAGTGGAGACTCAGCGCCCGATGCACGGTGATGGACTCGCGCAGGTGGAGGTAGTTGTCTGGCGTCAAGGTGGCGTCGACGACGGAGTGACCTGACAAGGTAGAAGCCTCAATATCTGCTCTGAAGACGGACCTGTGGAAGATGGCGGCGACGACACATGTGAGTGCGTCAGACTAGTTTATGCCCCAGACCCGGTATGTGGCCCGGCTGGGGCTTCTGGCTTTTGATGATAGGATTAGGTGAGTAGTCTGGGTATGTGGCCCAGGTAGCATCCCTGCATCATTGGGATAGGAGTAGTGTCATATGTTACCAAGATGGCGGATTCAGGCATATTGTTGTAATACTTTGTAAGGTCCTCGAGAATAATCAATAAAATGGCCGTATGCATCTCCCAGATGCAGAGGCCGGGGGTAATCCTCCTTTTCTAAAAAAATGCATGTCCTTGATGCCTACACCACCATTCTCCTTTGGTAGTATAGCTTGGTCCCAAGCCACAAGGCACTGTCCCATTTACTCAGTTTTGCTTCTATCTAAAAAGGTGTGAAGTAGTCACTCCAGCTTAGGTCCTTCTCAGTGTTTCATGGTGTATAGATGCTAAGTATGCCATATAGGTAAAAAATCTGATATGGCAAGGTATTTAAGAAGAGAGAAAGGAGTTTCGTGACCCAAAATAATCAATGTCAAACGCGTGAAACTATGCAGAACACTTAAATAAAAAGGTTTGCCCTATGCATATAAGAGTTTAGTTGTTAAACAATTAAATGAAGAAGACTTAGGGGGTGTTTGTTTTCAGGGACTTTTTTGTGTAGGGACTAGAAAAGTCCCTCTTAGAGACTTTTTTATCAAACGGGAGGGACTTTTTAGGGACTAAACTAGGCATTTGGGACTAAATGAAGAAGACTCTCAAGGAGAGTCTTTTTTGAGACTTTTTGGGACTTTTCCAACAGTGCCCCTCCATGCATCCATTGGCCTGCCACCCCATGGTGTTGTTTGATTGTTATTTTTCTATATACTAGAGGCAACATGGTCATTTAATAACCTTTAGAAAGGGACTAGAAATTTTTTAGTCTCTGAAAACAAACAGGGAGGGACTTTTTAGGTACTAGGAACTTTTTAGTTGGGACTAAAAAAAGTCCTAGGACTTATGAACCAAACAGGGCCTTAGCAACAACAAACTAAGCATCGATGCATCGGGACTTTAATTCCTAAACTTGTAATGCCTTAGCACTCTGTCCAAACACCTTTGCATTGAAAGAGGCCTTATCTATGAACTCTTTAGGCCAGAGAAAACATGCAATGAAATAGCCCCGGATTGTTGCCAATGCCACATTACTCAATGTCGAACAACCTCCGCGCCGCCCTCCGAGCCCCCCCCCCCTCCCCCACCCACGTCGTCTGAACCGCTCATTTTTTCTCACGCTCAGGTATGTGTCGGCAGATGTGCACATACACGCACACACGCTCGTTTATATGAACGTGTATATTCTATCCTATGAGAAGCGCATAATATCTTGAGACGATGAAATCATCACAGACACCTTCATAATCAACCGGAACATTTTCTCACAATGAACGAACATTATCGAAAAGACTAAAATAAATTCAAAAGTGCAACCACAAATGTCAAGTTTAAAATCCGGATAGACGGATTCCATCACAAGCAACCTAACCATCTCAGCAGTTAAAAAAAAATGGTTCCGGTCACTACCGCTCAGGTTGGCGGTTTCCACAGTTTTTTGTTTCTTATTAAAAAAACTCCACGGTTTGATTTTGATTGCCACTGTCCACGCGAGCCGGAGCCAGGAGCCCCGGAAGGCGCCGCTCCTTCTCCCCGGGAATGGCCGGCGACGGCCAGCCCCGACCTGCACCTGGGTACCACAGCGCTGTTCCTGGCCTGCCTTCTGTCCATAGTGCGGAAGGTCGCAAGGAGTGACTGAGGCGGGGCTGGTTGGGCTAAACCAGCAGGATTCGCGCCTCGAGCAACTGCTTCCGATCAAGGCCACTCACGCTCAAGGAATCCTCTCCACACGAAATTCGTGCAAAACTCTGCCGCTAGCGCGCTTACCTATGATCCACGGCAACGGCAGCACGCACGACGGCGGCCTGCTCGGCTCGGTTCCATATATCTGCATGCTGGAACCGGGCGCCCTCCAGGCGTTCGGTCAATTGCCCAACCGGAAAGATTGCAGCGCTGGCGTCCGATGGCCGGGCTCCAGATTCAGGGTATGTTTCCTCTCAGACTCTCAGTCAGTGATTATCATTTATATGGATTGGACAATACTTCAGGCTGTACCTAGTGACATAGTATGTTTCTGTAGTAACAAATGCTTCAGTTTCCTAAATATGCACTTCCCATTCAAGTTCTTACGAGACGCAGCATACAAATAGGATCGGAAAGAATCACTTATCATGCATAACCAGTTGATTCAGATACACACACCTGCCTAGTGAGTGGACAAACAATGTCAGCATGATCCAGTTGGGATGCAGGTTTATCCCATTACATCAACTAGACTAGGAATCTAGAAACAGGGACAGCTAGCTAGAGTGTACCACTGCTGAGCGCACCGGTAAAGAATCACGCTCTAGTTTTTTCTTGGCTGCTCGGCGACGATCAGACCATATCGACAGCGTCATATGGATTGCAAAGTAGCCCAGAACGGCAAGTATGAGCATGCCGACATACACAGATGTCTTCCACCCCCTGCTGGAGCCGGCTGCATAGGCCACTAGGAGAGTGACCAAATCCAGTAGGATCGTCCAGTTCATCACCCTCAGCGACCATTTCGCCCAATTTTTTCCATTCTCATTTGGCAGCCAGTGCGGTAGCAGCATCATGATGACGACGATGGAAGCCATGAAGGAAATGGAGTTGCTGTAGAAGAAGACGAGGTACCGTGGCCTCCTGTTAAAGTGCATCACAGGGTCACCCGCCTCATACCCATTGCCACTGCTCTGCCATGCTCCGCCGGGCGGATCCAGGCCGGCCTGGTAGGCTACGCTTGCCACCAAGATGCCTAGCAGCATCAGGTACTTGCTCCTGGCGTGTTTCTTCTTTTCTTCTTCTCCGTCTTCCTGTTCACAGGATATGGATGGCGCAGCAGCTGTTGAATTTTCATTTTTGTTTGGCTTCGTCAGCAAAAATACTAGCAGCAGTCCAGCTGCAACAAAGAGGACCGCGCCAACCAGCACAAAGATGTAGATGGATGTCTTGAAGTGTTGCGTGCTTCCAGCGGCATAGGCACCCGTCAAGCAAAACAAGCCCACTGCCGTACAAACAGATAAAGCATTGCTTCGTATGGCTGGCCTGTACAGATTGGGGTTCACCAGGAGGATGATGAGGGCGATGGACAACATGAAGCTCACCGAGTTGCAGTAGAAGAAGACCTTGTAGCGTAATGGGTAGTTGTACAAGAGTACCGGGTCGCCAGCGTGGTGCCCGAGATTGTCATCCTTGAGCAGGACGCCGCCGGGAGGGGTGAGGCCTGCTTGGTAGGTGATGGTTGCGGCCAAGATCGCAAAGAGGAGCAACCGTTTGCGCCTCTTCTCCAGCAAGCGCCTCTTCTCCAGCAACTGATCTGCTTCGTCGTCTTTTTGGTCCTTGGGATCCTGATCTAGTGTGAAGAAGACAACATGGATCACCACATAGACGAGGACGGCGCCGGCCAAAGCCATGGCATAAAAGGAGGTGTTGGCGTCCCGGCAGCTCCCAGCGGCATATGCGCCGATGAGGCCAAACAGGTCGAGTATCATGGCTGCCTCAAGCACATGGTGCTTGACCAGAATCTCCTTCTGGACCAGGACGATGGCCACCAAAGAGGCCACGAACGCAACCGAGTTGCAGTAGAAGAAGGCCTTGTACCTCCTAGCGTTTGTGGTGAGGAGGATCGGGTCACCGGCCATGTGCCCATCGACGTTGTCCTGCCAAAGGCCACCCGGCGGGTCCAGCCCCGCTGTGTAGGTGATTGTGGCGGCAAGAGTGGCCAGCAGTAGAACAAGAGAGCGAGCCTTCTCCAGAAGCTCCTTAGTACTGCATTCATACATTGCAGAGAAAAAGAAACATAGTTCAGTTCAGTTGCAGCGAAAGAAAGAAACAGTGTCACTGCAAACAGAGGATATGTATGTGCTCCGTTACCTGACATCATCATCAGTTTGTTTTGCTGGACCGAAACAAGAACACGAAATTTTTGGCGCTGACGTATAGAAACCACCATAGAGTAGAATGTATGCCATTGCCAGAACGGCGCCGACAAGGCCGACCAATTTGGCGGTGGTGTCGGCCTTCCTGCAGCTGCCAGCGGTGTATGCGCCAATGAGGCCGACAAGCGCGACGACGATACACCCGTAGAGCACGCGAGAGCGAGCCGTCTTCTCGCGGAGCTTCTTGCCGTCGATGATGAGCAGCATGGTGATGAGCAGGGACGCCACGAACGCCGTGGTGTTGCAGAGCAGGAACACCGTCAGGCGCATGCTGTGACGGTCCTTGAGAATTGCATCACCTGGGCGGTAGCTGGTCCCGGTGCTGTCCCAGAAGCCACCCGGCGTGCTCAGCCCGGCGACGTATGTGACGCTCACCGCGAACGTGGCCAGGAGCATCAGGACCTTGCAGAGCCGCTCTTCTGCTTTGGGCTTCGTCAGGGGCGTCACGCCATCGGAGCCAGGGCCATGGTTCTTGTCTGTGGACCAGCAATCCATCAACTTGAGAGCCACGATGCAGAGAAAGACGATGGCCACCAACACCGCAGAGTAGACGATGGAGATCTTGTCCCGGCAGGTTCCGGCGCCGTAGGCGCCCACGAGGCTAAGGAGGTCCAGAATCATGAAGCCCCGCAGCGGCAGGACGACCCCGATGGCGTCATTCTTCTTCTTCTCCTTCTCCTTGTCGTGCCGGATGGCGAGGACAAGGATGAGGACGATGACCACGAGCGAGGCGGCGAAGGCGGTGGCGTTGCAGTAGAAGAAGGCGAGGTAGCGGCGGTAGTTGGTTTGGCGGATGATGGGGTCGCCGGCGAGTTGGCCGTCGTGGGTGACCTGCCAGACGCCGCCCGGCGGGTTGAAGCCGGCGGCGTAGGTGACGGTGACCACCAGGGTGGACAGCAGCAGGAGGTACTTCCGCAGGCTGTACTCCCATGGCTGCTGGCACTGCCCCTGCCGCTGCCCGGACGCCGTTGCCTGCCGGTCGGACTCATCCGTGTGCATTGCCGGCTGGACTGCAGTGGCGGCGGCGATTCCACTCTCTCAAATCTCAAGCTCTCAGCAAGTGTAGCTCTTTCTTACTACTGTGATGCAGAGATCATGTGGGACGATGGGAAAGAGAGGGAGAGTTGCGTGGTAATAAGACGACTTGACTCGGCGCGTCGTCCGGAGGGAAGGTGCCGAGTCCGTGCGCTCTGCGCCTATGCATATTCAAATCCTGACGGAGCGCCACTATTTTACTGCCACTGCTCTATATTTTTACAGCAACTCGGGCGCGTGTAAACGACGGTCCCGGGGTCCTGGGAGCAGCCAAGTCTTCTTCTTCTAGCCGTGGCCGGGCTCCATTGCTGGCCGCATTGCAGCTGCAGGGACGCCACTATTTTCTGAGCAAGCATGCTTTTCCTCTTCTTACGAAAAAGGGTTTTCCCCGCTTTATATTATAAAGCAACGGACCAAGCATCCAACACATCCGTATACTGGGGCACAGCGGAACAAGCCCCAAAGAAAGCTAAGCTTTTCCTATTCTTACTCATTGTGATGCAGAGTTGTGTGATGATTTATACAGTAATATTCCCTCGGTTCCAAAATAAGTGCCTTAAGTTTAATACAACTTTGCACTAGAGTTAGTATAAAGTTGAAACATTTATTTTGAGACGGAGGGAGTATTAGGCTGGTCATAGTGGAGAGTAACTTAGACTAGTAACATACATATGTTACTAGTCTATGTTACTACCTTCATAGTGGGTAGTGTCATAGGTGTGGTAACATAGTTGCCTTCATTTATTACTTTGTAGACTCATTATGCATTGGAAACCGCTATGTGATGGTAACATATTATGTTACTCTATTTGCCTCTCTCCTCATTAACTACTTGCTACATCACCAATTTTGCTTATGTGGCATCTATGTTACTACCTATGTTACTCCCACTATGACCAGCCTTATAGAAGGGCTCGACTCGGCGGCTGGCTGGAAGCTGTCGAGGCTCTGCACCCTGCATATTCTACCCTTGAAGAGTAATGTACTGCCCTGCCCGATGTGCACAGAGTCGGGTCGTCGGGAAAGGCCAGCAACAAGTCAACGAGCAAGTCTTTGTCCGGTCAAGTAAACTAGGGTAGCAAATAAGCAATTCTAGCTCTTCTTCCAAAACATCGTGAGGGAGCGTCCTAGCGGAATGCAGTTTTTTTATCGAAGGGGAAAAAAGAACCATTTGCATCTGACAGAGCCGGCTGTGACGTGATGCCTCGTCATGTCGTCATGTTGAGTGCGTCACCGGAATTCGTCATGAAATGGCGTCGTTAAAATTCTAGACTCACGGACTATTACGGGGTTTTCATTGGATCTCCT